TTCTCATCGCTCGCGTTCATTTTACATGTACGCCTCTGCAGACAGGCGTATTGTCTAGACGCATTATCTGGTTTGCTTGATACAATGTATACACATCACATTTATGCTGGCCCTTGCAAATATTGCGCCTGCATTCTTACAGCTCCAGTTTATGGTGACGTTGGTGTTTTCGAATATTTTCAATTTTAAACTCGGTGAACTTTCATAAAGTTTCATGATGGCTTCAAAAGTCACGGATCCTAACAAAAAGTACCTTTTCTGCAGTACAATGAAATGATAAAAAAAATCACTTTAAAGTGTGTTAAATTGCATGATTTGCACCCCCAATTCAAAAAACCCCCACACCCTCCCCCGCTCGGTCGCTCGACCCCTCTCCCTCGCATCGTTTCCTGTCCCGTATTCACATTTCTAAAATCTGGTCACCTTGCGTGCGCCGGGCCTGGAATTTAGAGCATGTCTCCACTGCAGACAGCACTTCATACTTGAACATCCCCGCGGCCGCGTGCGCATATCCCGCGGAACTGCGCATCTCATCCGCGCGCAGCGCTCAGGATCAACAGCAAAGCTATGCCACGCAATCTTGTATCATGTCTCTCTTGATACGTGTGTGGGCGGATGTATACATGCATGGATGCATGATTTCACCTGGCCGGACCAGGCTCTACGACTGTTTCACATCACGTCTTCTCGCCACATATTTAAAAGCTAGTACTAGTAGAAGGTAATTTGTAGACCAATAAATTGTGCCCTAAAAATTTTTATATTCTGATGCTATTTTAGGGCCCAATAGCCTTCCATAGACACAACCTGTGAATTCTGTCGTGCAAAATGCATGACAACCTTTTCACTATTTACGGCCGTGTTACATAGAAAATCAAAGAAATACCTAAAGCCGTCGCTTTATTAACATCTTACCTACATTACAAAACACTTGTCATGCAGTATTCTCCTCTTTAATCACATTTATTTTATTAAAACATCACGACATAAAAATCACGCAAAATTCGCTACACACAAAACTGCCAATCTTGCATTCAACCGCACCGGACAGCGACACAGCGATGATTTCATTGGCCGGTGAGAAATGTCGTTGTGCGGTTCGATGCAAGATTGGCAGTTTTGTGTGTAGCGAAGTTTGCGCGATTTTTATGTCGTGATGTTTTAATAAAATAAACGTGATTAAAGAAGAGAATACTGCATGACAAGTGTTTTGTAAAGTAGGTAAGATGTTAATAAAGCGACGGCTTTAGGTATTTCTTTGATTTTCTATGTAACACGGCCTTAAATAGTGAAAAGGTTGCCATACATTTTGCATGACAGAATTCACAGGTTTTGTCTATGGAAGGCTATTGGGCCCTAAAATAACATCAGAATATAAAAATTTTTAGGGCACAATTTATTGGTCTAGTAATTTGTGGCTATACCAGGTATTTCACTGGGGGCAGCCCTATAGACCGAAGGTCCGATAGACCAAATATTGCAAAGGGTTAGGGTTAGAGTTAGGGTTAGGGTTAGGGTTAGGGCATATATATGGTTTATAGTGGCATCATATGATTTATAGTGGTATTGGTGGATGTGCGGCATATTCACGTTCGAATACGGCATTAGTGGATGTCCGGATGCGTAGCCTGGAGCCTGGAGGCTAGGCGACAGATTCCGGACGTGTAGCCACTGCGTATTCGAATAAACCTTCGGTCTATCGGGCCTTCGGTCTATCGCACCTTCGGTCTATAGGGCTGTAAGTGTAACCATTTTAGTATTTACCATACAACCAGTACAGTAGCTAACCCAACCGACCATTTCACACAGGTAATTTGGTAGGTAATCACATAAATCATATCTCCATGGACCTTCAAACATGCAGCTTAACTATAAATATGATTATTTTGACACCGAGTACGTTAGTACTGTACACACTCACAGTAACAGTACATTGTACTGTAGGCGTAGGGCCTACAGCGCACTTTCATTTTGCCATATTACAAAAATTAAATTTTGACAACTAGCACTTGAAACACACTCACAGAGGACACCTAAACATTTACCAAAATATTAAACTCATCTAGACATTTATTATGTACAAACCTACTACATTACTGTCATAATCGATCATTTGTGCTCGTAAATTGACTTGTATCGTTGTCTTTTTACTACACACAAAAGTTAGACACTGCTCATCCGTCCGCCATTTACGCAAGGTATCAAGGGAATGAAGGAACCTACATAGACTGGCCCACGTTGACTGTCCCCTTACTTGAAATTCGCCGTCTTTAGCTATAACTAACACGGTTGAAAGCGATAGTCGCCAGTGTATCGCTGGATCAGTGCCATGGAACTGTTTTCGTATGGTGTACCCTCACGCCCAAATATTGCGATGTATCAAGGATCGCAACTCCTAAAACCTTTATCCAGAGCTGTTGGACTTCCGATTGACCAGGTGCTTTTTCGTTAATTCATAATTATTAGACAGTGTTGGTACAGAATTATAATCTGCTACCAGAGTGCAAATTTAACTAAGTAATATACAGTGTTTACTGTTAGAACTTTTTAGAAAACGCGCCAGGTTCTGGGATGCGTGTGGCACTGCTCACTGCACTGCCACTGGCAGCGTCAATTGTATATTTGCCTATAATATTTGCATTGTTCTTTTAGGTTAACTTCACGTGTTCTATGTTAATGTCCCTGATTGCATCAGTGATATTGCGGCTATCGTTTCATCCTTCACATACAACAGCAACGGTGAGGCACATATATTGTGTAGCAATCGGACTCACAATAGGAGTGTTCTGCTGGGGTGGGTAAGTGTCATGATTTCGTTTTCCGCTATACTAATACTCTTAGCTCAATTTTATTACCGCTCTCTGATGCTTTTAATTGTGCTTTTTCGGATATCAGTGACACATACCTTGTTATAGCTGAATAGTGACCCATTTATTATTACACCCATGCGCAATCCAAACCTTAATAAACTATCTATGCCATCCTCTCTTGAACTTGAATCTATGAGGAGGATGTTCGTATTGACCTATAATATATACGTGCTGCTAGTGCTACATGCCCGAGACCTATGTAGATATAGGGCGCTATGTGATGATCTGTGACACATCGTTCATCAAACATTAAGAGCAATGTATATGTATGGATCTAGCTTTCACAACTAGTTACAGAAATAGTATACAGAAATATGTTACTGTTTTTCTAAACAAGCACACGTACATGGACCCATCCGTCTCCGCACCTATCCACCCGCGCGTACACACACACACACGTACATGCATGTATGCATACCGACTGGCGACATATATTTCTATTATGTACTCTTGATATATATATGTCACACCAAGAGAAATATAAAGCTAGAAATGATACAAAACAGATCTGCAAGATTTGTTACAAACACCTATGGGCGATATAGCAGTACGTCAGCTCGGTGTGCAGCTCGGTGCCAACTTGGCTGGCAACAACTTATGTATCGTAGACGCTTTAACTCGAGTGTAGTGATGTATAAGCTTGTAAACCACCTCATAGCAATACCGGCGAATAGATATCTGATCCCGGGGATGTCAGGTACCAGATCGAAAACCCCCACAAATTTCGGCACCTGCACTGCAGCAACAATTAACGCATTTAAACTCTTTTTTCCCCCGGATGATTCCAATCTGGAACAACCTACCCGTGGGTGTTGTGGAAGCAACGGACGTTGACATTTTTAAGTCAAGGCTTCACTCCCACATGCACGCAAACCCAGGACACCAGTTGCATTGCACTCACATCATGCATCATTATGCACTTGTTTGTTTATTGGGTTTATCCCTGAAGGCACTTACTATACCTTGTCATTATATCCAGTGTAGTGGACACCGACAAGTATGAGAACATATAGCATAACATAACATATATAGCACTTGAGCATGCGTTATAAAAATTGTAGGTAACTATTGATGGCTTAGGGAATAAAATTACTGGGATTCCCCCTGTTTACATTTTGAATGCAATCTTTTTTCATTATTATTCTTGACTTTTTATATATGCAATAAATGTATACTACGTGAAAATAACCATACATGTAAGCACAATACTCTATATCTTTGAGGTTGGTACATGCACATGCAAACATACATTATCAGATAACATGTTGGGGGAAACTGCTTCTATGAAACAGCAAACAAATAGGTGGACTATAGCTGCATATGGCTTAATTGTTAGCTAGGATAGGCTAATTTTAGGAGACATTTCAAGAAGAGCTAGCATGAAAGTTTGCTAACTGCGTTTGCATGTATGAATCGGAGTGCTATGGTTCTTCATTCTCTATACGACATCAGATGCTGACGGCCAGGGCTACCGCTGGCGTTCTCCACTTACGCAAAATGTGATGAATAAATAACGGTGGCGATTTTACTACTTACAGCGGCGAATTATCTAACAGCTCACAAAATTTGTGATTGATAATAAAATCGTCAAATTGCAGTGTCGCATAAGTACTAACAAATTCTGTAATCTAGTCATGTTAAACTCTCTTTAAATAAAACAACCTAGTTTTATGTAGATTAAACTACATTATTTTATTTTTACTTGATTACTTTATTAAAAATGTTTTCGTATGCCTCCTTTCCCATACACAATACTTGTTTCTGCCTTGCAATAGCAACATAATATGATATGTGATAATATAGCTTATAAAGTGAACAGTGTCTGTAGTTTTTCATTGGTTGCTAAAATATAACTGGTGGCTCAAGTCTTGGTTCAAACTTTAAAAAAATCCAGAGTAGGGGGAGCCCTGGGCAGCTGATCCTCATCATGCTGACACCTTCATGAAGTCTTCATGCAGTTCTTCTGGTCATTTGGATGTAGCACTAACTTCTTTACTGGCACTCAGGCTAATGCCAAGCGTGACCATATACTGCACATATTGATACAATTTTACTACTTTATGCCATAAAGGAAAGAAAATTGTGTCCTTGTTTCAGGGACATAAGTGTATGTCAATAAAGCAAATATCACACTACAGAATAGTGTTTAATCAGCGTAATATCAGGTTGGCAGGTAGAGCATACCACAGTATGGATTGATATAGATAATGTTATTGATTATCATTACACGAAATCTAAATCCAATACTGATTATGTAGGGGCCTATACGCATGAGTTACAACTTACAGTGAGTATACTGTGTATACATAGGCTATATCCTACGATACATATTAGGCCGCATCCAAATGATTTCTTGGTTATATAGAACGTTAGAAACTATCATTATGCATATTAGGACTGGGACGATAGATAAAGCAGTGAAAAAATATGATGTTCAGTTTGTTTTTGTGATAACAGTATTACGTAGTGTTTTGTAAGGTGCAAGTCGATAGCTTACAAATCTAATTTTTAAGCTAAGTGCAGTGATTACAATCAAAAACTATATATACCACTGCAAACTATCCATTATATCTTTTAAAATGTATGCCTGAAAATCTGTTAAAAACTGCAACATTTGTACTAGAGTTTGTTTTATTGCAGACGCAGCTGGAATGTCATACTGTTTGTTCTAGGATGCTACATGCTACTAAGAACAGTGGGCCCACAACATATTCAGAAGTAAGACAATTTTCTACTAATACTAATAGTTCGTATATCTGAATATTATAACTTTGTTTCGTGGACTGAGAAATGCAGTCTATGAAGGGTAACACTAACAGTGATTTTTTGGGGTCCATAAAATCTAGGTTGCCCAAGAAATCGGGGAGAAAATTGTCTTGTTATTTATTAGTAAATAATTAATAATATATTATTACCACAACCATCCTTTGACTTTAATCTTTACAACACTGCAACCTCGGCAAAACGATATAAAGGTGCTGATAAAATCTGTGATGTTTGTATCCTTTTGGCTTACACTGACACAGGAACACGTGATCAGAGATCACAATAAAGTTTTGCTGAACAAACGTATTCACCGCAGAGACTGTCCTTATAAGATGTGCTTGAAAATACATGCTGACAAAGTATGCATGTATGTGCACGTGTGTACATTTTATCTTGTCAAATTAGTGCTGTTCATATCTTCCAAGCGCCTCTATCATCTTGGGTAGGTGGCTGACTGGCTGCTCTCCCCTCTCCGGCCCTAGGTTCAGTCAGTGAAACGTATATATATATGTTAGTAAAAACCTCTGTAGGATCGAAAGCTAGCTGTCTATAAAGAACACGTTTAGGGTTTCCCAGCAGTGACCCTTATATGGTCAAACATGAGTATATGATTCACTCAATAGAAATGCTAAAAGTGTCTTTATAGACAAATGTCTGTTCTATAGTGGTACCATTATTGTATATCAGCCGTTCAATGCAGCATATAAAGATGTTTTTAATTTTTTTATAGTCAGAGTTTTTTAATAGTTATGTGTGCATTCTACTGCCCGGTGTGTGCTAACACAGGTTTGGCTGTGTACAGTTTGACTCTATCTTGATCGAGGTTCATACTATAAATATTGGCATGGGCAGTAAGTATATTCACTCTGAATAGCATATATATATATATATATATGACTGCTCGCAACTAAATTAAATCGATATAGTGATCATTGATGCGTATAGCTCGCAGCAACTGTCATGTGTTACAAGCTATCAAAGTTATGTCAAATAGATTATTTGTAATTGATTCATTTATTCGTTCTAGTTTATCTATTGTTGACTACATTTCTATAATTATATTATATATATATGACTGTATATATATAATATAGCCGTTCATCCTCACAGGCATGTCTACAGGAGTGCAAGGTTAACTGATGTGGTATTTGTGCAAAGACTTGCTCAAGACTGTTTATCTACCATGCAGCCTCATGATGCTTGAGTCTATTGAATATAGTGTAACTTAATTGGTTGCAAATTTTCCTTTGCTAATCGTCTTGCCCTTTTCCCGGGGACAGGGGTGGGAAAATAGCGAATAACAGCTCTAAATATATGTTGTGGTTAGATAATAATACCTTGATACACAGATTAATAGGTTCTATCACAGTATGAGTATTATTTTATTTATTTGTATTTATTTTTTATTTTTTATTTATTAATTAATTTTATGGGTATTAATTTGGCCAAAAACTGTAAAGGTCACCTTTGACCTTGTAATTAAGGAAAATCATTGGATTAAAAAGTAGTGCGAGATAAACCCATCTCAGGGTCTGCAAGTTATCCCGAGGATTTATCTCGGTGGCTATCTCGGGGGATATCTCATACCTAGTATGCGAGAAACATATCTCTCCATAAGTACGGCACCGAAGTCAGTTCAATTAAGTCACTAACCATTATGAGCTTGTACCACAGTGTAGTTGACAGTTATCCTGTGATAAGATAAGGGTGGCCTAGAAATGTCAAACAGAGATGCAAAAATATGCATTTAGCATGCAATTTTTGGCACGCAAAAACCAAAGTGCCAGAAACACAAGTTTTTTTAAATTGTAGTCAAAGTTGCAGGCATCAGCACATCCCGGACTACAATTGTGAGTGATGTAGACTAGAGGCCTGCATATAGAATGCAAAGAAGTCTCTGATGATATAAATTTACCACATGTAACTTTTCTTTACAGGGTTGTCTTTGTGTACTCCATGGCATACTTGACTGTATTGCACTGGTACAGACTAAAGAGCTATGGTGTCTACGTCCTTGACATTAGCGGGTATGAAATTGGAGAAATTTTTGGGAAAAAGAGACATTTGGATTGTATCTTACTTTATCTAATCATTCTAATGGGTATATATATATATATATATTTATTTATTTATTTATTTATTCATTCATTCATTTAATCAGGGGGTTATAAAAGCAAATTTGTTTATATTTAGTTCTAATATGGTACTTTTTCTGTTGAATTCATTTAATTTATTGTCTTGGCTGCATTTACTATATAAACACTATGCTTTGTAGTGTTGACTGTTGAGGATAACATTATAACTGCAATTATATATATTATATATACATTATATCAAGAGTCTATAAAGAAGGAAGTGTATCCTTCTTAATACGCTCTTGATTATCTATACTATAAAAGGGAACAGCCCATTTTTTGTTACCTATGTTCTCTGAATCTGCTCGCATGATTTAAAATTGCTTGACTGTAAACTCAAGATGCATTACTACTCATAGAGTGGTATAGGCGCACTTTTGCAATGATGAAAACACGATAAAGTTGAATTTTAAGCCGTTTTATTCAACACTGGTCTACCGATATCAGACCGGTATATCGATCGACGTCACTACCATTGTAGTGCGCTGTGGCGCAGTGGCAGCACACTTGCGTAATACGTTAAGCCCGGCGCACACGTGACGATTTTTATCGACCGTACCGGCGATTCTGTTGCCAGCAACAAAATCGCCGAGAAATCGCCACGTATTATTCACGCCAAAAACTTTTTAGCTCAGTTAATATACCTTTATCTCCTGCACTTTATCTCCTGCACTTCCTGAAATTATTAACTGCTCTCCAAACAAACTGCTGATATTGGGGATTTCAATTCTATTATCAATTATCAATTCTTACAAACTGCTGAAATCTCTCTTTACGGTTCCAAATCCAATTTTTTAAAGGGTAGGTCGGTAGGTACAAAAAAACATTTTTTTACTTAACAATTTCTTTTAAAGTCAAAAACACCAAAACTATCATTCAGTCTGTTTATTTTCTACAACTTTAAACCCCGATACATATTTTGATGGAAAAATATTGTTTAGGAAGACTAATTTATATTTCTCGACTTTATTTATGATCTTGGTCTAAAATAAATCAATTTAATATTCTTTTTACAACAATGCTAATAAATTTGAGTCGGCACTTTTCTGGAAGGGTCTGTCGGACTCTACTCTAACTCTCAACGAAGCTGTTCATTTCCCTGTGGATTTCTTCAATTCCCTTAATACCGCAGGCTTACCACCACACAAATTTACTCTTAAACTTGGTTCCCCCATCAGTGTCCTCACATCTTTACACCCACCCAACATCACCAGTGGAACACGTTGTCGAGTCACAGCCTGCCATGCCAACGTCATAGACGTCGTCATCCTACATGGACCAGCAACTGGCAAAACCGTATTCATACCACGCATACCACTCATTCCTTCAACATCAGATCTTCCATTTCAATTTAAAAGACTGCAATTTCCTATCCGCCTTTGCTATTCTATGACAATAAACAAAGCCCAACGACAGATTTTCACTACCATAGGCTTGGACCTGACCACACCTGTCTTCTCCCATGGCATGCTCTATGTTGCCCTTTCACGAGTAAGCAAACCCACGGCGATGTTCATTCACACACAGGACAGGAACACCAAAAACATAGTTTACAAAGAAGCCCTTGATCCTTAGGTGAGCTACAACACTAATACAATCATTCATGAATTCCCACCGTCCGAAGGATTAGTTACAGTTACGCATGTCCCAGACAGTCAGGCAATTAGATGAAACTAAAAAGGACGTTTGCGATAAAATCTTCACCCCCGAAAACTATATCCAAACTGCTGACAAACAACTCATAGAAACTATCACTGAAAACTAAATCGAAATATTCGAGAATGACTCTGCAATGGTACTAGACTCAAAATCCATAGACTTCACACACACGTACTTCATGCAGAAATACTCACCGGCCCTCGCAATGAACAAACATATACCCAGGGTAATAATATTATTAGCTCCGTCCGATGCCAAGCTATCATTTACACTTCAACGCCGCCAGTTCCCTATTCGCTTGGCTTACTGCATCACCATCAATAAAGCGCAAGGTCAAACTTTCAAGAAGCTGGGCATTTTCCTCCCAAAACCCGTCTTCTCTCATGGCCAACTTTACGTTGACTTCTTACGTGCTAAATCTTTTGCTGAGATAAATTAAGCTTCAACTGGAAACTACTCACAACCAAACTCAAGGGAAATCAGACTCTGTTTACGACACTACCAACGTTGTATACCATGAAGTTCTGTAATTTAGTGCCCATCACCTGTAAATCTCATCAAATAAACTTTTGTATTCTATTTTACTTCTTCAAAGTACTTCTTAGCTAAACCATGCATCTCTACATTCACAGCATATCCCCGCACCCGTCAGCATCACTACCATAGACTTTCACTACCATAGGCTTGGGCCTGACCACACCTGTCTTCTTCCATGGCATGCTCTATGTTGTCCTCTCACAATTAAGTAGGCAAACCCAGGGCGATGTACATTCACACACAGCCCACGAAGACCAAAAACATACTTTACAAAGAAGCCCTTGATCCTTAGGTGAACTACAACACTAATACACTCATACACCAATTCCCACCGTCCGAAGGACGGGTACTTTGCTAGTATATTATAAATGCAGGCAGATGGTTCTATGTGGCTGGAATGTGCTAATGAATTTTCACTTTTTGACCGATGGACTTTTACTTTTGCGCATTCTAATGGATGCTGGTTCAAACCTTGACTTGCTTGCATTTCTAATATACATGTATATTATAATTGCATTTATAATGTTATCCTCAACACTACCGCTTTTGCAGTGGCCATAGTAGCAATAACAGCGGAAGCACTAGCGGTAGGAGCATGAACATATCTCTACAATGTGTTCTCTTGTATAGATGTGTTCAGGAGTAGGATAATATAGGTAATATATTATCTTACTCCTGATGTGTTCATGCTGCTATTGCTAGTGCTACTGCTGCTGCTGCTGCTGATGATGATGATGATGATGATGATGATGCTGATGATATTTTGATGGTAGAAGTATATGTAGCAGAAGCAGCCAATGCAGTCCTCAGTAGTTAGAGAAGTGGTGGCAGCAGTAGCACAAGAAGTGATAGCAGCAGTAGTCGCAGTAGCAGTCGCAACAGCAGCATATAGTTATAATATAGCAATGTTCCCATAGAGAGTTATGTTCGTGGTAATAGCAGTTGGTAATTAAGCACCAGAAAGCCATTAGCCATAATACGAATATAATGTCTTAATTGCTGCTATGCTTGTTGCTATTGTATGTCGAAGTGCTGCAAGTGTGTTTTACTCATTTCTATCAGAACATTTTTAAGTGTGAATTTTTGTCTTTATCATAAAGAAAAGGAGCAGTGCACACTGCATTATGTTTGTATATATTCTCAATATGACATTGTTTTGGCCAGTAAAATTCCGACAATATCTTATTGATGCAATATTACATTACAATTTACACTAATGCTGTGGTAGTTGATAGCAGTAATACTTCATTGGGTTGGTTTGAATGTGTTTGAAGATGTTTACCATGTGTTTCTGTTCACATAGCCATATGCAAATGAATGAACCTCCTTACTTGCCTACAGGGATTCCATGAGAAGTCTATTGGTTGTTCATTTTACTTTTTGTTTTCAGGCCTGTTATGGTTATGACACAAAAGATGACAACACTAGCATTCAACATTCACGATGGTTTGGCACAAACCGAGGAACAGCTTTCCCCCGAATGTAGAAAACATGCTGTGAGGTATGAATCTAGTACGGACTTCTCTATAGCTGAATGCATGCAGTTGCTATGTATATACTGTCAGAGTTAAATAGAAACAAACAATAATAATATAAATAACACAAATAATAATAGTCATAAAATATTTAAAAAATTATTCACTCCTGATACTGTTAATGAAAATGTCTTTTGTAGGTCGTTTTTAGCTCGCCTTGACATCGTCAAGATGAGCTATTGCCATGGGGTGTCGTCCGTCGTACGTACGTCCATCTGTCCGTCCGGTCCTTCTGTCCGTCCGTCCTTCTGTCCGTCCGTCAACATTTGGCTACGGTCAACGATAACTCAAGAACCGTTTTACCCGCATGTTTCAAATTGCATATAGTTGTTACTCCTATGGGAGAGGTTTGAACTTCCTATTTTGGAGCATGCCAGTCGACCTACTTTCGAGCCACGCCCACTTTTTGGCAAAAATGAAAATGGCCATCTAAATTCATTCGATTTTGTTAAATGAATGTGTAAGGCTAGCCCCAAAACAGTTGTTACTCCTATGGGAGAGATGACAACGTCCTATTACGTTTATTTCGTCTAACTGGTCAACAACTCTACAATCATACCTATATACATGTAATATTGTGTTTTAGATTCTTCGTTACAGTAATTTGACTGGAATATTTTATTGTTAGCTCAGCTGACAAAGTCAGATGCCGCTTGTAGAATCGCATGAATGTCCGTCCGTCCGTCCGGCCGTCCGTCCGTGTGTCAACAGTTACGGCACAAATCTTAACCGCGCGACGTACGATCTTGATATTCGGGACATCGGGGATGATCGCGAAAAGGACTCGGGATGTCGAATTTGGCGGTCAAAGGTCAAGATGTGTCAATGGAGGGGGAATATTTCCCCCTTAACTTAAGGTATAGAAGGAAATACGGAATTGCGGCACAAATCTCAACGGCTCGACCTACGCTCTTAATATTCGATGAGTGTGATGGGGAGGAAACCCATCACCAGCGCGAAATTGGAGGTCACAGGTCAAAGGGCAGTGGGGGAACGGTCAGATATCAGACATTTTCTGAGGACATGGCTTAACGGACCGAGTGCAAAACATTTTTGTTTCAGCGCTGACCTACCATTTTTGTCACTTTATTGAAAGGACCGTGAAATCTACTTTCCGCTGACGTGCGAAGAGTAAGTGTCTGATAACCTTTTGACCCTCAACTGCTGCTGACTGAACTGCTTTTGCTATTAGAGCCCTCTCCACCTGCCCCCACCCTCCCCCCACCACCACCACTACGCTCGCGTTCGACGCATATCCATGATAACGTGAATATAGCGAAGTCATTAAAGTTGCACAGCTATATCGTTATTACTGTACTACCGGTATAGCAAAGCCTATCAACGCGATGGCGGGAGGGCGCACTTGATTCGGTTGCCAGTGAGTTTATCAGAAGAATACCCGGCTACAGTACATGTCAGTTGAGCGCTGTCGCTCTGCGGCACTTGTTTTTATTTGCGCGATATTCGAAAACCGAAATGGCGATCATTTAGGCGTAGCGCCATCTCTCGTCAAGATTTCAGACTTTTAGATCTGAAACATTTATTTTCACATCAAAACTTATGCATATATCATTATCAAGAGTATATATAATGGGAGATATGCTATATAATGGGAGTTCTCCCATATATACTCTTGCTTTATATATCCCCCTCCCTCTTCTATCACACCCAAGGTGAGCTACAGTGTCATTGACACTTTCATTCTGTAAATAAGTTTGAGAGATAATTATTATCCTCTTTAGTACTATACAAGGTTGAGTTCCTACCCGGTGTCATGGCTCATGCTATTTTAATGAAACGATTGACTCACATGCATAAACTAATAGAGGGAGAGAGTCGCAAGTGTATATATTGCTTCTTGGATGCATCCACATGTCATAGTAGTTTGAACTTGTAGAAAAACAGTACAAGGTGTCATTCATAAATTAATTCGATTTCAGGAAAATTCCCCCTCCAATTGAGTTTGCTAGTTACCTACTCAACTTCCAAACGATCCTGTGTGGACCATGTTCGCAGTACAATGACTACATAGACTACATAGAGGGGAGGAGCCTGCAGTCACGCTCTCCCACTGCTAATGTAAGAGCACACATAATAGTCTAAATAGTTTCCAGTTTAATTTAGTGCAATTCTGTGTCAAAATATATGTCAAATATTTTCTCACATAAAAAGCTACAATATTCAAGCATGAACAAATTGGACAATAGATGGCAGCAGTGGGTTGACTAAAACTGTATTAAAGGGATACTTACTCCTAGAATTTTAGAGTACCGGTATATTATCAAGAGCGTATAAAGAAGGAGAGCGTACAACGGTGAAATGCTGAAACCATGTTGCAGTATTAGTCAAATAAATAAACTTTCTCCGTTTTATTTTGACGATTCTTCAGTATTATTGATCAGCTGTCCTACCTTGCTAATATAAAATGTCCCTACTTGTTCCCCTTGTCCCTACGATGCCCCTACGCTGAGATAATGAGCGAAATCGTTTTTTTTGCCGAAATCCGAATCAGATGACTAGGCACTGCGACCCTCTCTCGCTTTGAGATAACTTCGGGAGACCTCGCGTGTTTCCGTCAATGATTGACAAATGGAATGAATGACGTCTGTTATTGATTGCCATAGTGATGACCCACACCTATGCCCACCTCACGCCCACCTCACGCTGGATGTATAGTAAACTCTGGTAGTATTATGTGAGTCAGCGCTACCATGGCGCTACACAGCGGAGACCGGAAGCAACATACTGGCCACAAAACGAGAGTCGGTCGCAGTACTGACTAAACGCCAAGACACACTGCAGCGACAGCGACCGACCGTAACGACAAACAACTTTTCAGAAAATTAGAAACTATTGTTTCCTATATGAGCCATTGCACACACACGCGACAACGACCGGTGACAACCTCGACGACAAAAATAATTAGGAACGTTTCTATTCTCCAGCGACAATCGCGAGCGACTCTTTATAAATAGCCAATCGCAGCCGTTTCCATCGGCACGTGACATAACGATTACGTCATAAATAACCCATAATGCTAGCCAAGACGTAGTCTGGTCTCCAGCGCTAAACTCGCGCTGCATGTCACAAACAATGGGGCCGCGAACCAGTCTAACCAAAGTGTGCAAGCTGTGGCAAGCTAGACACAGTACGTACAGTACATGCATAGATATAGATATTCTTCTTCTATATCTATGAGTACATGATAGTTTGCTGCGTATATTTTACTTTATTATCTTATCCTTATACCTAGAGAGTTTTTGCAGCCTGTTATTTAAAAGCAGCAGCATGAGTTTTTGCCATTTGTTCATGTGATGATGTGTACCACTGACACTGTGGCGAGTGCTGGGTGAACTTTGACCTAACGTCGGTCGCTGTCGCTGCAGTGTGTTTGCGCTAGTCGCCACGACTTTGTCGTTTGTCGTTACGGTCGGTCGCTGTCGCTGCAGTGTGTTTGCGCCAGTCGCCACAACTTTGTCGTTTGTCGTTACGGTCGGTCGCTGTCGCTGCAGTGTGTCTTGGCCTTAATGTCGAGTCGGTGTTCGGCGAAAATACCAGATTTTCACCACTCATTATCTCAGCGTAGGGGTCATCGTAGGGACAAGCGGTTTGTTTTATATGAACAAGGTAGGACATCTGATCCATACTGCAAAGAATCGTCAAAATAAAACGGGGAAAGTTTATTAATTCGACTAATACTGCAACATGGTTTCAGCATTTTACCGTTGTACGCTCTCCTTCTTTATACGCTCTTGATATTATGATAGTAACTAAGTGCATAAATAATAGCATGTACCTGCAAATTTCTATAATCATTATTAGTTTAGAATGTTTAATTAAAATTAGTGCTCATTTTAGCGAACTGAATGTTATTTCTCAATGCTGCCTCTGATTTTATGTTTCAGGGTTCCACCTTTAAGGATGTACCATCTTCAAAGGAACCATCACCTGTTGTACGTTTGAATTTAAAACACTCGCTAAAACATACATATATGAATATGAAAGACCACTTTACTAGCTGTTCCAGCAACAGTGCCTTTTAAAAAATTTCAAAAATTGCCACGCTGTGCCAAATATACGGGCCCGTCAGGCTTGTTAGTACTAGAAATGTCAGGCACGAACCTTAAAATACAGGCATCGGGCCCGCGGGCCCCTTAGGATTTCGACCCATGGTATCATTGCTGGAACGGCTGTTAGAGTGGTCTTTCGTGTTCACTGTATAGATATATGTTCATACTATATATGTGTGTGCGTGCGTGTGTGCGTGCGTGCACGTGGTGTGTGTGGTGTGTGTGTGTGTGTGTGTGTGTGTGTGTGTGTGTACGTATATATATGTGTGCGTGTGTGTGTGTGTGTGTGTGGTGTGTGTGTATGCGTGTGTGTGTGCGTGTGTGCGTGCGTGCGTGCGTGCGTGCGTGTGTGTGCGCGCACGCATGTGTGTGTGCGCGCACGCATGTGTGTGTGTGTGTGTGTGCGCGCGTGCGCATATATGCATGCTTGTTAATTATAGAGTTATAAAGAAGGCATATGAACCCTATAAACATTTTTATATTTCTGTACATTTGTATGAATTGTGTTAATGTTGCATGATGAGGACATTCTGTAGTAAACGAATATGCATCAGGTAAATCTGTTATTAGTGAGGTGCACTGCTCATTTTTTTGACAGAGAGCTGTCATGGAGAAACTAGGTATTGTCCTAGTTCTGGTATTTGTCAACCTGAAATTGCTGCCACTTTTTCCAATGGAGTACATACGAGGTTAGTAAATCTTCTATATTTATTCATCCATGCTGTGGAATAGTGAGTGAGTGACCATGTAGCACTCTTGTGAATAATAGTAGGTGCAGTGCTTATTTTATGATATAGGTTATTAAATTACAAAATATGAAGCTTAGCACATTCAAAAAAGTTCAAGGTGCAGCTTGCCAACATTTACATGAAATCAGTTATAATGAGGTTGCCTTGATTCTAATGAATGGTTCCATGTATAATTGAGTTACAGTAGTTGGACAAAATTCATAATCATGCAAGTGTAAAACAATTGAAAGTTATTCCTTTTTAAGAGTTCACTTGTGATTTTTTTTATTTCTGGTATGTTTCAGAGGAGAAGTTTCTCATGAACACTGGCTTTATTGGAAAAACAACATATATTCTTTGTGCTACTACAGTCACTAGAGCTAAATATTACTTTGCTTGGGTCATGGGTAAGTGATATATAACATCGATAGTAATAGCATATATAGTGCTTTTATAATCATATACCGGTATACTGATATTTTTGTATCATTACCATTGCCGGAACCACTGAACACTGTTACAAGTCTACTTATAGTTATTTACAACGACCAAACAATCCACACTGCATATGTTAATTATAAGGTATCGCAGCACTTTTCTTTTTTTAAGAAATTAAATTAAATACTGTCTCAAAAATAAGTAAAACTAAAATCATGGAAGGTGATTGTTTCGGGGTAATTATACCAGGGGTTAGGCCTATTGTCCAGGGGTAATTATCCTGGGGCATATGTCCTGTGTGGGGGGGTGGGGATTTGTCTTAGAACCAGTTATAACTCGATTACTCAGATTTCAGACATGAGTATCATCTTTACTTCTGTCGTTTCACAATAGCACGAGAAAGAAAAGACATGTTTAGTTCATATTTGAGATATATGGTTATTGTAAGAAAGGTTCTAAATTCTTGCACAGGATTAGGGAAACATGTTTGAAGTAGGACATAATTTAGTGGATCTGCTAAGACTGAGCAAAACTAGATGTGCTTCCTTATATATTTAAATAAGAGTTTAAAATAAAGGGTTAAAAGTGTATGGCCACACGAAATTAGCGTAGCTATAATTATTATTTCTTACAACAGGTGAGCTAGTCAGCCTATCTCTTAGCTCATTTGACATAGTCAGAAGGAGCTTGTAGAATGGCGCTTGCATCCATCCTACCATCCTCAGCAATAGCGATGCACCTATTTGTCTTCACCTAGATTGTGCATATATTCAGCTTAAAGAGGCAATTTTCAACAGATCATCAGCAGGAGGAAACTTGGATTCAGGCATACATTTCTGCAATTTTCACCGATTGATCTCTGGGCAATTTATCACCACTCAATTCCAATATGAATGCAGTAGCTTAGTTTAGAGTGTAGAAAAGCTTGAAATTATCATTTTTATGCACTGCTTTTGCTGCATGCGATTTCTCTTCATAAAAGGGCTTGAACTCGCACTTTTGACCAAATATATGCAATTAATCTATTGACATCCTGCACCTACAGAACGTTTTCTGTTAATATCATGTGAATGTCACAGCGTGTATAGTGTTTGGAGTTACAATACCAGCCGTTATATATCCCAATACCTAGCAGTTACTAGCAGGGGATAAAGAGGCATAGCTTGCTCTTCTTCCATCACTGAATACTATTGCTTTACTTATAATAGTCTAGCTCTTTCTATTATAAGTGTTTCGCATGGATTTTATACTGTCCTGGGAATTTTTGTTATATTATTTTTAATGTAGGTAGTGTTGTCATTGCAATACTGATGCCCTAATATATTCCTTTAGTGGTATATCAAATTCTATTTTATAAGCTGACCAACTCAAGGTACATGAATTAAGGTGAACTGGCACATTGGATGGGGAGCAAGTATTCTAAACACAGTCTCATTAAAATTGTTCATAGCATACGTCATATATATATGTTATTTTATCTGTCATTGTATTTAATCAAATGCATGCCAAAGCATAATACTACCACTATCACTACTAATGCTGCTGCTGCTGCTGGCGGTGGTGGCAGAGGCATGCAGTAGTGGTGGTAGTGGTGTAAGTGGTAGTGATGGCATGCTGGAACTGGTAAAAGTAGCAATAGAAGCAGCAACAGCAGCAGTAGCACTCAAGCAAAGAAGCAGTGCTAGCAGCAATATTGATTCAATTAGCACAGCACCGTGATTTATTTTATGCTATTTTTCCATGGCATTTTTTTTACTTCATTTGAGGATTTTACTACGATGTGATGGGTAACTGTCTATTGTGACTTTTGACCCTGAAAATGAGAATTACTGATCACCTCTGCATTGGTTCAAGATAAGGATTAAGCGAACTACAGAAGATAGCCATGTTTATATAGAAATTGAAAGCACCTAAAAGTATCATTTAGTCAAATCTAAATTTAAAAAATATTGATTCACCTGAAATTGTAATATGTCTTCATTTTATGTGTGTATATAGTCACCTAGTCAGAGGTTAGTAACACAAAAGTTACTGATTGCTATATGTGAACAGGTGGTATGGTTAACTACTATATGTGGCCTTGAGCGGCTGTTTGATTGTGCAATATACACGGGCACAGATTAATTGGAAAATTGTTAGTTTAATTTCACGTAGTTTTCCTATAGTCATATTGCTATGATACGTGCATAATAACTATAAAAAACTTCTATGGTAATCGAGACCTGTCTTTTTTAAAATGCTGTGGTTAGTTTTGCTAAAAGCAACAGTGAGACTGCTCATTGGAAATTTAAAGACGAACCGCATATTATATATATAATATATATGTATATGTGGTTCTCAAAGCTGTAAGAAAGTTGCACAAACGCCCTGCTGAATGTTAACATTGTTATCCCTTTTTACAGCCGATGTCGTGTGTAATGCCAGCGGGTTTGGGTTCAATGGCTACAATGAGGATGGAACAGAGAGATGGGATTTGGTGCAGACCGTACACATTGCTCGTTTCGAGGTGAGATAAAAAATCTAGGTGGAAATTCTTAACTGATCACAATCAATATTCGCTGGTTATTTGCATGTTTGCGAATAACACCTGATTCTTCATTATAGTTGAAATAATTTCGGCAGGTTGCATGCTAAAAAGATTTTCCAAATACTGAACACAAACAGCTGTTGTGTATGTACCTGTATATATACAGAAAATATTAGAATTAAAACAAACGTTTTCGCTTTATTGCTCTTCAGGTGCATTGGAACCATTGCAATGCACCTGAAAAGCAATAAAGCGAAAAGGTTTGTGCAAATATGTCTCCAGCTGTTTGAATTATAATATTTTCTGTGTAATCTATAACTTGCATTTGGAAAACGGAACTTTTTATATATGTATCTATATATATTCCTATGTATATCATGATGTATATATATATATATATATATTTGTGTGTGTGCATGTTTCGCTCTATAGTTTAGCCTCAGCTGGCGGGACTCCTTGGCGTCTTGGAACACGCAGACGATGGTTTGGCTGCGCATGATTGCCTACGAGCGCGCCCCTTGTATGAAGACCTTCCTGACATATCTACTGTCCGCGTACTGGCATGGTTTCTTTCCGGGATACTACCTGACGTTTGGCGCTGGAGCTCTCGTGACCATCGCCGCACGAAATGTGGGTGATTTGTTTCATATCGACTACTATTTACTTACAAATTTCAGCCACTATCCAATGCTACACATTCTCTAGCTGTACCTGTGTACCCTACGCACTGTTATAGGATGACATGATATGGTATGAGGGAACCCGGAATATTGCCTACTTGCAAGTGCTGCCTCTATTTCAATGTAAATTTGGCATGAACATTGTTCGTGTGACCGTTTGCGTTTAATAAACAAGCCAATTTGGCTCAATTCTGTTGAGTTTGAGTTAAGAGTGGCCAGCTAAACCCGACGCGTTTATTTTGCCAGCTGTCATCTTTTTTATTGTACCACGGATTACATCATTGTCAGCCATGCTGCAAAGATTTGCTTGATTGCATTGGGTTTCTTATACTTTTCCTTGTGGTGAAACAAAGAGCTACGTGGGTAGTGCTATTCATTCGCAAATTTAGTGGTCACGACTTTCATTGCTAACATCTCAGTATAAATCCATATTGCACTGGCACATAATTAGCATATCACGATTTACTAACGTGACCCGCGATGTAGCCCATTCCTGCACACTCATAGTTAGTTCATAGACAGGCATTGATGATTATTTAATGGTTCTCGTAGGTGCTGAAGTCTTTGCATGCGTTCATCCTTCTGTCTTTCGTGACTCTACACATGCGCATTCATAATTTACAAGAACATCTCGGGAATATCCTTAGGATATGCATGTTGCCATATTGACCAATTCACATTGATTGCCTATTTAATAGGTTTATGTGTTTAAGTTTGTACTTTGTGTTTGCAGGTACGTCGGAGCATTCGACCAGTCTTTCAAAAGTCTAGAACGATGGTCCTGCTGTACCATGTGATGACGTTCCTTGCATGTCGTTTAGTAGTGGCATACGTTACCTTCCCCTTCATGCTACTCTCATTTTGGCCTTCTATACAAATCTACAAGTAAGAATAGTATTTATCATGGATAATATTGTCTCAGTGTTGTAGCTTCTCTTGTGTTTGTTTCTGACGATTACCGTGACTCGACCGGGTTAAGTGAGTTGAAGTCAGTGTGGTTAGGGCCGTCTTATTTCGCCTTTTCTGTGTGTTTTTTTCTGATGTTGATGCACTGGTTATGTATTTCAAATTAAGGAAATACTGATAATCTGTCTCTATTTCAGGTCCATGTACTTCTACATTCACATTGCTATCTTGCTAGCCACCTTCATCCTGCCTGTTGTGCTTCCACCGCCAAAACCTGGATCGACGACGGAAAATAGCGCCTCTCAGTCTTCACGCATGAAATGAATATTATCAAGCCATTCTCGGAATCAATCGTGGGTAAATAAACTCGCCAACACATTCATGTGTGAGTAAAAGTAATATTTGTGTCAGTTGCATTCAGAATCACAGCCGACTGTTACAATTTGTAAAAATGCACCCTTCTCTTGACGTGACTGTGTGGATTAGCATTTTTGCAGCACTCTGAAATGGCACGATTGCTGCCATATTCGTTTTCTACACCAGCTCCTGGTGTGCCACAAATTCTGTTGTCATAGTGTGCACTTTTCAGAGAACCTATGTCAAACAATTGGTTTTTAGGGTGAATGTCATTCAGTTCATCCAGTTTCGTTCATCTAGTAAAAGATATAAAAGATGAGGTAAAAAAATATTGCCCTTGTTTTTCGTGCAAAGAAACTGGAAGGTGCGAGAAGTAGACATGTATTTTGATTGAGAGCATTTGTTGCTTCAGCTTTATAAGTGCATAGAACTAGTCTTGTTGGGTGAAGGCGATTTCGGTAGTGCAATGCCTGCTATCATGTTGTGGCGCCGGTGTAGTGTTGCTATAGTGATATTTGAAAAGCATTTATTACAAAATGATATATTTTAGTTATGAGCAGATGAGAAAACTCTTTTTAATTCGTTGATTTTTGTAATGGAAGTATAAAGATCAAAGGGAATTGGAGGACGATGCTTTGCGGGAGCCATTTATGTGATTCACGTATGTGCACCCATGCCTTTGCTATTCGTGCATGGTGTCAGCAGGGTTCATTAATACATGTTACCTCATTATACAGGTACATTGATTCTGTTTGTATACTAGAGAGAGGCCTGGGAGTTCGAGGGCTTTGAATTATGAGACGGTTATGGTATTATATTTATACTGTATCAACGATTAAGGATCTGCAAGAAAGGATAGAGAATTTTTATAATTCTGCTTCATGTAATTCGTGCAGCCATCTTTTCCAATTCTACCTCGCTACTGCTTGGCTATACAGATGCAAATTCGTGTTTATCTTTTACCTGATCATGAAAAAATATGTATATTTTATTAACGTTATTATTTTTTTAGTTTAGGCAATAATTTGAAAGAGCTCTTTTCATGTGTGTTAGTATGAATTATGCTCAGCAACTAGTTTTGTGGGAAAATGTGTTCGTCATGCAATTGTACACATGGGATCACACAATTTTCTAATCGTGCCGTGAATGTTGCTATGGTTAAGAAAAGGTTATTAGATGATTAATTATCTATCCATCCAGCAAGAAAGTAATCTTGCCAATGCTTATCTAGCCAGGCGAAAAATATATTTTTCCTCCTTGCTGTGAGAGATGTTTGTATGGAACCATATAACACTTGTGGATAATAGTTGGGTCTCTTATTAGATGTAATCGGGAGTGAAGAATAATAGATCTATTATTATTCACTCCCGATGTAATGATGCGTAATACGTGATGCGTCTGTTATACACGTGTGCACATACACAGGATCTGTCGCCGCAAGGTGCAAAAATACATTATATGCATATTTATGACCCAAAAATCGTCATCGTAGGATATATCGTGGGTGATTTGATTCAACCAGCCTATTCGCTGCTTTCCTCCTATATACACATACACCTATGTAACTATGTACGTATTATGTATTAATGCTCCTATATAATGGTGCGTGTGTGCTTACGTGTGTGCGTGCGTGCGTGCGTCGTGCACACGCGTGTGTGTACTGCTTCTCATTCACAATCAGTTGTCGGATAGTTAAAATATCTCCGTAATTCACACTAACGTTAGTTTCTAAACGGAACTCACAAGCCACGGCAGGCGAACACTCATCATAGCTGAGGGGGAAAGCGGTTTTCACGCTAACGTTAAACTACGCTGGCAATTTCACGCCTCTCGTTAGACGCCATTGGGACCCGCCTGTAATGATTCGATGAGCTGCGCGGGAGATGTAAGCCAGTGTATTTAAATGCCTTAAAATATTTCACGATATATTGATATTGATAGTGAGATATTAAATATATCAACTTCAATTTGAAAAATTATGTAATGAATACTTCCCATGGTCCTTACAGTGTGTGAACGTTGAAATTATCATACCGGTGATAAGGCTTTAGAACTTGTATTTCCTTTTCAACTGAGTATATTAGGTCATCTACCTTGATTTATTCATGGTATTGTTCGTATATGAGACATATAGTGTATTTATATCCTTATGTTGTGATGCATACTAAGCTCGTATGCAGTATAAAAACGTGTTGCATTAGTTTGGAACATGTGAGAGATTTATACACAGTATTTTTAACATGAACGTTGCTTCTTATTTTAACACGGCTTCTGAATAATACTCCGAACTTCGCAAGCAACTCCAATCAAATACGCAAGCATGGTTACCTATGCCATCTCCTTTCTGACAAATGTTGATATTTTACTTACTCGGAATTCATAGGAAATTAAATAATGGTGTACTTATTAATAATATATTATCATAATAGAGTATTGTAGTCGTAACATATTTTTTTAGTGTCTTGCATGAGTTGCAGGATACAGGTAGAGTATATAAAAATATATACGTATATATATATTATCAGGAGTAGATAATAGAAGTCTTCTATTATCTACTCCTGATATTATATATATATATATATATATATATTTAAGGGTTTTAATAATAAGTGATCCCTCATTATCTTACTTCAGATATTATGTAATCTTGTATAAATGAACTCTAGATACCAGCACGCATGTAGCGCTCAGAATTTATATTTTCTGACTGTAGAGCAGCCAATGTTACATATAGGTACAGTATGTAATATGAGATATGTATTTGCCTAGATGATATAATTAGATTCTGTGGTAATATATTTAATTGATGCATATGCCGGTATTCACCGTAAACAGCGCTTGCATGCGTTTGATTTCCTTTGGTAGATTTTCTGTTATGTAACAATACTGTGAAAAGGTATATAACTCATACGCATATTTTAACATATTGACATGATAGCCAGTAAATATTTGCGTTTACCGATATACATTTCAACAAAATACAGTTCGCTGCATGCCATAAACTAGAGAGAGAGATGGGAGGGGGAATGGGAAAGAGCGACATGTCTGTACTTATATATTGGATATAGTCGGCAGAGCATGAACATGTGGTTTTAGCATAGAAATAGTTTAGTGTTTACCTTTTGGTGTTTGGTTTTAGTATGCGTTAACTTGAGTTTATTAACATACAATTCCGTTGTCTAGTTGCCTAATAAAAATGCAAGATTGACAATTGTTTCAAAAACGTGACAATGTGAAAGAAACGCTATATGGTTGTGAATAAACTAAGCTTAATTGTAAGAACCTACATAAGAACCTAGCTATAAATCTAACTACCGTCCCAACTTGTGTGACCCTAGTATTTATGTAAACGTTTGCCGTTAAACATCAGTGTAAAACTGACTTCCCGTATCCATATAAAATTTGTAGTATATGACGTTTTATATCGGACCAAAACTGTATCGCTATTAAGAGGGATAGTTCGATGTTTCGATAGTTTTGATGATACGTAGTGCACACATATGTATTGTCTGTTACTGAACATCTATGAATGTACATGGTGTCACAGTGTATTTATATAGAATTGAACGTACGCAACCATCATGAATGCAATGTGAGAGGATAATCATCAATTATGTTAAACGGAGTATATTAACTTTATTATTTGTGAACGCATACTGCATCCGTGATTGCAGATCCACAACTTTTCAATTGAAATGTTGTTATTTTTTAAACGTGATGATGATGAGGTGAAAAAGTAAAGTCGTTGTAGGGCTGGGGAATTCATTTTTAAACCAACGTTGTTCGTATTCTACAATGAATTTTGTCAAGATTATTTCCGTACATTGTTATCCGAAAATGCTTCTCGTCGAAATTTACAGTTATTTTAATACAGATGACTATTTACATGACTCGGCATTTAATTAGTTTTGATTTTTTGTTTGTCAATTACAGTTTGTAAAACAAAGCTATAGGCGCTTAATTATGGCGTTTTTATCTAGCCACAGTGGTTACAAACGGTTTTCTCTTGGCGCTATGTTAACTGCGACGTTTTCAGGGCTGTAGCTTGTGGGAGGGGGAGATACCCCTCCCCTCCCATACCCTGTCGGCGCCCCTCCCTCTACACTAAGCTATTTCTAAATTCGTCAAAAAGTGTATGCAACATGAAATTCCTTGACTAATCGCCAAGGCATGCAAGTCCTCGCGGCTATGCAACCGTTATTCTAAATCTATTTAGGCTCTAATGTAGATACAGTTTATTACATACAGTACCCACGTATAGTCAATATTCAACGACGCTTCTAATTGGGTAAAAGACCTATAATTTAACCGCGGTTGAATGATTTCTACCGCGGTAAAAATAACGCGCGAGCGCACACACACACGCACGCACGCACACAACACACACACACACTGTCACACACACACGCATACACACACACACACAACACACACACACTGTCACACACACACGCATACACACACACACACAAACACACACAGACACATCACCAGCGCCACACCAGACATCACACAGACAAACATATTAATATAACCACACATCAACACCAACCAGCACACACACACACACACACAACACCACAACGCCACGCACCAAACACACCGAACACAACACACATACCCACAACAACCACACCCACACAGAGAGAGAGAGAGACAAACATAGAAACATACCTCAAACCACAAACACACAGCAAAATACACACACGCACACACACACATACACACAACTGTGGGACCCATTTTTCGAATGACATCAGCCTTGGAAGATGATTCACCCACCATTTTTGTATCAACTCAACTTTTTTGTAATAAAATTGGCAGATTTTCTAATAGAATCAGCTCACTAATTATGCAATAACGCCTATCCGTGTTTGTAATAAAATCGGCAACTCACCACTTTTGTAACTAGACAGAGGGCACTCAAAGAGAGTGCATACCTCCGCGAGCGTGTAACATGTATACATGTGTATAACCGCTGGCTCGCTGCTGGCTGCTGCTGACTGGACGCCCTAAGGCGAGCTGCTGCTGACTGGATGCCCTAAGGCGAGCTGCTGCTGACTGGACGCCCTAAGGCGAGCTGGTGCTGAATCAATCGATCGGTTGTGCGTGTGTATAACAGCTGGCTCGCTGCTGGCTACACACACACACGAACACACACGAGAGCGATTACATTACCTCCCTGCAACTCCGTTGCGCGGAGGTAATAAACCTTGAACAGCTCTCGTAATAACATCTACATCACCTAGACCAATCCTATAACAGCCCAACAACGACAAAAATAATAAGAATAAAATGTTAACAACAACAACAACAACAAATACCAACCTAACAACCACCTGCTCAACCATTGCATTTCTAATCTTAATTGTAGTCTTAATTAAGAAAAGATAAGTATCCCGATCGGACTGTGTGATGTCTTATAATGTCCATCACATCTCCGAGGTATTGGTGTACATCGTGACACGCAAAACCTACCCACCCACCCACCAACGGTGACTAACCTACCTACCGGCCTGCCTGCCTACCCATCCACACATTCACCCACCCACCAATCAACCTCCTACCGGCCTGCCAGCCTATCCACTACCCACCCTCCATCTATCTGCGTATCTGCCTACATAGGCACCTATACCTAATTTAGTTGATGATTTTATCTTTTCGATTGTCCCTATGGAGCTGCGATCCATTCCACACACATCTCAGTGGAATAAGCTCGTCTGTCGGCAGAAAACTGAACTGAATGACCCAAGAAGTACATTATTTTTACTCTACTTTTAAAATGTGATGCTTTATTATGGGTTTCTATATCCAAACTGATGTGCCGCACAGTTTGTTATGCGCCGAACAGGTGATATACATATGTGTGTGTGTGTGTGTGTGTGTGTGTGTGTGTGTGTGTGTGTGTGTGTGTGTGTGTGTGTGTGAGAGAGAGTGTGTGTGTGTGTGTG